GCCAACCCATAGCATCTTTGTCATGTTTACTCTTTTTGTATTTTAAAGTGATAAATCATGTTGTTGTTTTTTTTCTTTTTTTTTGGGGGGGGGGTTTGAAAAGGGTTTAGTCATATCCAATTCCACCCACTAGTTAGGGCCCCCCCAATCACACAATACCACCAGCACTAGGAGGGTGAAGGCTAACACAGGCTTCCTCCAAGACCTGTGAAGCGCCACCACATCTTTTCGAACTGCCGCTCACGTAACATCAATGGACAGACGAACGCGCTCGGAGGAAAACGGCAACACCAGATCTGTTACATCAGCTAACAGACACCTGAACTGACTAGCATCGCGCTGAGTGATTTGGGGAGAGGTGAGGCCATCCTACCCACCCAGAGGACTCGTGGCATCATCAGGGATCGAACTCACAATCTCCTGACGATAGGGCCAACACTTAGACGGTTGTGAAACTCAGGAGCCAAATTGTATTTATTTTTGTTTGAAACTACAAAAATAAGCGTCCACAAGCTGAAATTGTCTGGTTGTCTAAACAATAGTTCAGGGCTGAATTAAGTTAGCCCTGACTGGAGCTACAGGCTAAAGTAGCTGACTACGGCAGCTCCAGACTGTAGGAATCCTCAGGCAAGATTGTACATTGGAGGCCCCTCATTCCAGCACATGATCCTGAGCAACAAATCATTTTATTTGTTTACATAATCTGATATTCAATTAAAGCAGCATATGTGGTAACAAATTAATTGAAATTACTCATGTATTGTATTTATCACAGATGTAATGAAAGTTAATACAAGGCTACACATCTTACAGAGCAGTATGATATTTACATAGCAAGAAGAGGTGCACAGCAAGAGGTTTAATGTCTGGGGGGGGTACGGGACCACTAAAACAAATAAACTATACGGTGCTGTTCACCTCTGATGGTAACTACATGCAATAAATAAAAAATGTTAAACCTTCTTTGCTTTCAGATGCGATACAATCTGTAACTCACTCATACAGGATTAGCAGGCTGAAGTTTCCCCACCAGGGGGAGTTTTAATCTCTCACACAGATTTTGTATAGATTCTGTAAGATTTTCCTTCTCCTGTAAAGTTACTTTTTTGGAGATGAGTTTTTGTGACAACAATGGGATGTTTCTTGAATACTTTGCAGGTGAGGCACTGTGTGCACTTGTTTATTCATAACTATCAGATATTTTCTCCTAGGGATAAGCAAATACCAAAAAATGGCTAAATGCTCATCCACAATGCTTAACTTAATGGCTTAAGTTGCAGATGATTTTTCGACTATGTAGTAATGCGATGATCAGACATGATTAGAAGAACTACAGTTTTGCAAATGGTAGTTGAGACATCTGGAGCAAAGAAATGAAGTAATTAGCATAACGGCAAAGATTGGATGTTTTAGGCATGCAGTCTGCACAATGCTAACCTGGTGACTATAAGATCCCATTGCTTGTTAGCCACATTAGCCTCATAGTTTCAGTGCAAAACTAAAGAAGCAACTTCAGACACCAGACTTGTCTGATGCAGTTTGCACAATGCTAATCCGGTGACTATAAGATTCCATTGCTTGTTAGCCACATTAGCCTCATAGTTGACTACATTCAGGCTGAGGAGGAAGCTGAGTCTATTAGATTATTCACCAAAACAATCACTTTAACTCTGAAGTCTAATGTACACACTGTGTGCTCATCCCTTGCTTTTGTCTTTATTCCCTATCTGCTTCTTTTCTGTCCTCCCTTCTTTCTCCTTTGTTTCGCCTGCCATCCTTGCCGGATTACAGATGGTGGAGTTTTTTTCTTCCCAATTTCCTGAGCCCAGAGTGAAAACAGCCCAAACACCTATCATTATTTAATGCAGGAGTAAGCTGTCTGTGTTGACAGTCTGTCCTCAGACAAACTCGGCCGCTCCACGCTAAAATCATTGACTCCAGCTGACCTATCACCTCGCTAGCACAGCTCCTGGTAGAAGCTGGTCAGTTTGAGGTCAGCGTGGAGGACGGAGCAGATGAATAGAGCAGCGGAGTCTACATACACACTTAAAAAAGATGGTTCTTCAAGGGTTCTTTTGTAAAGAAAATGGTTCTATACAGAGCCATGAACACTCAAAGAACCATTTGCATGATAAAAGGGTTCTTAGCATTTTGAAAGGGTTCTTCAGACTGATGGAGAATGTGCTGTAGATGGTTCTACATACCTTCTTGAAAAGGGTTCTATTTAACACCAACAAGGGTTTTTCTATTGTTACACACTCTTAAAAAATTATGGTTCTTCAAGAGTTCTTTAGCAAAGAAATGGTTCTATATATCATGAACTCTCAAAGAACCTTTTGCATGATTAAAGGGTTCTTTGCATTGTGAATGCATTCACAGAATGCGCTGCAGATGGTTCTATACAGAACCTTTTTGAAAAGGGTTTTATATAGCATCAAAAAGGGTTCATCTATTGTTGCGATGTCAAGCTTTTTGGTGCTATATGGAACCCTTTTCAAAAAGGTTATATAGAGAACCATCTATTGCACATCTATTTCTCCATCAATTTCAAGAACCATTTCACTATGCAAAGAACCCTTTAATTACACAAAGGGTACTTTAAGTGTTCATGGTTCTATATAGAAACATTTTCTTTACCAAAGACAGGCTTGACATCATAACGATAGCAGAACCCTTTTTGGTGCTATATAGAACACTTTCCAAAAAGGTTCTATGTAAAACCATTTTCTTGACTAAAGAACTCTTAAAGAACCCATTTTTATAGGTGTGTACTTTAATCACATCAATATCACCACTATCCAGAGTTTATGGTGACTGCTGAATGTGAGACAGAGATTGAGAGAGAGAGACAGATATATATATATATATATATATATATATATATATATATATATATAGAGAGAGAGAGAGAGAGAGAGAGAGAGAGAGAGAGAGAGAGGGGTGTAACAGACTCGAGAGCCTGTTTATAATAAAGTAAAAAGAGAAAAAAACCTTTTCTTCTCTCAGCCTTGAGTAAGCATGAAGAAGGAGAGAAGTGAGAGTGAGAGAAAGAGCAAAAGACAAGAGAGTGAGAGAGAGAGAGAGCAAGAGTGACCAAGAGAGAGAGACTGAGAGAGAGACAAAGAAACAGACCAAAATAGGGGTGTGAGAAGAAAGAAAGAAAGAAAGAAAGAAAGAAAGAAAGAAAGAAAATGAGAGAAGAAAAAAGAGAAAACAGAGAGGGAGGGAAAAGGAGAAAGATAGAGAAAAAGAGCTACAGTCACAGAGATACAAATCACGAAACGAAACAAAGAAAGAAAGAAAGAAAGAAAGAAAGAAAGAGAAGGAAAAAAGAGAAAGTGAATGGAAAAACAGATAGAACGAGGGGAGGGAGACTGAAAGAGAAGAAGAGAAGAGAAAGCAATAAAAGAAAGTGAAAAAGGTAAAGAGAGAGGAAAAAGAGGTAGAATGAGAAGGAGAGAGAGAGCGAGAGCCTGAGAGAGAAACAGACAGAGAGAGAGAGAGAAAGGGACAGAGAGAGAGAAAAAGAGAGGAGAGAGAGTGATACAAGAAAGTGAAAAGGTAAAGAGAGAGGAAAATGAGGTAGAATGAGAAAGTGAGTGAAAGAGAGAGAGAGACAGAGGGAGAAACAGACAGAGAACGAAACAGACAGAGAGAGAGAATGAAAGGGAGTGATACAAGAAAGTGAAAAGGTAAAAAGAGAGAAAAAAGAAGTAGAATGAGAAAGTGAGTGAAAGAGAGAGACGTAGAGAGAAACAGACAGAGAACGAAGCAGTCAGAGAGAGAGAGAGAGAGAAAAAGAGAGGAGAGAGAGCGATACAAGAAAGTGAAAAGGTAAAAAGAGAGAAAAAAGAGGTAGAATGAGAAAATGAGTGAAAGAGAGACCAAGAGAGAAACAGAGTGAGAGTGTGTGAGAGAGAGAGAGAGAGAGAGAGAGAGAGAAAGAAAGACACAGAGAGAGAGAGAGAGAGAGAGATACAAAGCAAGGATAGAGTGTTTGGGGGTGGGGGGTTTGCTGAGGGGGTCTCCGCTGGATGAAAATGTCACAGCGCGGCCGGCGTTAATAAAAGGTAAATAAGGTAAATGGAGCAGGGCGGCGCTGCAGCTGGACTGAAGGACGTGTGCGGGCAGGGAAAGGAACACATGGGGCCGTGTTTGGATATTGAACCCCCCCTCGGCAGCCCCTCACAGAGCTGCCAGGGATATTGGCGAGCTCTCAGTAAAGGTTAGATCGAAATGAACAGCTGTGAAACGGCCACACGACGGCGGCTCCGAGAGGAAGAACATTCTATACAATCCTACAGTCCAGCGTTATGAGGCTGAGCGGGAATTATTTACTGATAGGAATTCCAAACTGCGGAGACGGACAGATGAGGACTGAGGTGTGTGAGCACACGCCTGTGTGTGATGGAACTAAATGAGTGGGTACGCGCGCCCACACACATGCACGCACATGAAATTTGCAATAATGAAGTACAGCCTGGCTTCATCAACAGAAAAAAATATCACAGTGCCTGATATGAATATACATGAGTTTATGGCAATTAAAAACTTGTCAGAGGAGCGTCTGCAGTAGACAATGACACTGGAGGCGAGAGAGCTATGGGCCATCTATTGGAATGGAGATGTAATTCAGCCACAGCGCTGCGCTTCCCCTCCCTGCCGCTTTATTGCTTCGCTAATTAAACTTCTTTGCACTCCTGAAGCCCAGCGAGCGCACCCGGGACGGGGGACGTGTCTCCACATACAGAGGCTGAATCTCAAACGGCTACACAGTAAAGATGGGCATTTTAACAACCGCTAGTCAAATATGTGCATGTTTAAACCAATAGAAGGCTTAGTGTTCATTTACTGCATTTAGCCAGCAGTAAAGGTGGATCATTTCAGGCTGATTTACTGGTTTACAACTTGCAACTTTTCTGTATATTTCAGTCATTAAGATGTAAACAAAGTAAATCAGAGTGGTTTGACATGAAATTGTTAATTGCATAGAAACTTACCAACTCTTTACAGCGGTGGTGATAGGAACCAGGAGTCGCGACCTATAGAACACAAATATAGCCATTTTATATTTTATTTGCAATTTTTATTTATCAAAAGAACAACAAACAACTTGTTGTTATATGTAATGTTGATATTGAAATAGTGGTAATTTTGAAAAAATCGGTTCTCTTCAGGAACTATTTTGCTTTACAGCGCCCTGCATGTACCTCTCCATCATGAACGGATTTTAAAAAATACATTTTAGGCCAAAACTTTAGTCTCAGACACCAGGAAACGTGTGTGTGGCAAACAATATACATCCCATTCCAAAACCATGGACAGTGCACATATCCACCTGTCCGCCAAAGTGCTTCAGCCCATACTGCTTTTAGAATGAGGTACAATGCAGGGCAGCCGATCAGAACAGAGGTTGTTTACACATAACAGTCTTAAAGGCACCATAACAAAAACATCTTAAATGATAGAGACGCTGGAAAAAAGTCACATAAAAATTAATTATCACATCCTGACTTTATTAAAATCTATTTTTAAATCTGTATTGTTTTATTTCATTTATTATTTCATTTAATGCATTTAGCAAGACTGTCCAGAGTAAAGGGGGGGAGAGAGAGAGAGAGAGAGAGAGAGAGAGAGAGAGAGAGAGAAATTAATAATGAAAGAAGATAGTAAATGAGGCAGAAATAAAGAAGAAAGAGCATAATAAAAATAAAAAAGACGGACAAAGATAGTGACAAAGAGAGAAACAGACAGACAGAAAGAGAAAGAAAAGAGAGAAAGAGAAAAGAAAAAAACAAAGAGAAAGACAAACACAGTGAGAGAGAAAGAAAGAAAGAAAGAAAGAAAGAAAGAAAGAAAGAAAATTTGTGAGAAATATAGTGAGATGGACAGTGAAAGAAAAAGATAATGAAAAAAGAAAGAAAAAACAAGAGAAAAAGAAAGCGGTAGAAAAAGGAGAAAGAGAAAAGAAGACAAAGACAGTGAAAGAAAGAAAGAAAGAAAGAAAGAAAGAAAGAAAGAAAGAAAAAGAAAAAAGAGATAAGGAAAGAAAAAGAAAAAGAGAAGGAAAGAGAAGGAAAGGAAGAAAGAAAGAAAGAAAGAAAGAAAGAAAGAAAGAAAGAAAGAAATGGAAGAGAGAAAAGGAAAGGTAAAAATAAAGAAGAGAAAAGAAAAAAAAGAGAAAGGCAAAGATAGTGAGAAAGAGAGAAAGAAAGAAAGAAAGAAAGAAAGAAAGAAAGAGAAAAAACAGAAGAGATACAGCGGAGCAAGACTGATGCTGAGCGAAGTAAACAAAGGCAGGGAAAAACAAAGCGAGAAAAAAGAAAAAAGAGAAGGAAAGAGAAGGAAAGAAAGAAAGAAAGAAAGAAAGAAAGAAAGAAAGAAAGAAAGAAAGAAATGGAAGAGAGAAAAGGAAAGGTAAAAATAAAGAAGAGAAAAGAAAAAAAAGAGAAAGGCAAAGATAGTGAGAAAGAGAGAAAGAAAGAAAGAAAGAAAGAAAGAAAGAAAGAAAGAAAGAGAAAAAACAGAAGAGATACAGCGGAGCAAGACTGATGCTGAGCGAAGTAAACAAAGGCAGGGAAAAACAAAGCGAGAAAAAAGAAAAAAGAAAGAGATGTACTACTTTCTTCTCACCCACACTCATTCTCCCTCCTCTCTCTCCCTCCCTCCTCTCACTCTCTTTCTCTCTTTCTCACTTAATGACCAGGATGTCAGATGATTAGCATGTTAAATGGCTCATCAAGGGTTGCCAGAGTTGCATCGTAAAACTGGCCTAAACAAAGACCCTGTGATATTCAAACCCTCGCAAACACGCCTACAGTCTCGCAGCCAGCCGCGAGCCTCAGAGCCCTGTACAGCAGCCGAGCCCTGATGTTCTTTCTGCACACAAATAACCAGCCAAAACAGCCCTACAGTGAAAACACAGCAATCGTTTGGCAGCAAATGAACAAGGAGCCAATTGGAGGCCTGAATCTTTCTTTAAGCTCTAACTTCACAGAGAGCGTTCTTTAAATGTGACCTTGAGCGCCTTCTGACAGACAGTTAAATCACATCTGAAAGAAAGAGTAAGAGAGGAGGATGCGCTTAATTAATTTCGGCTGTTCCCCATGGACCAGACGCAGAAGGGGGTCAGACACTTTGCATGAGAAGAATGAAACGACTTTCAACTGATGAGCAACTTGATTGATAAAGAATAGAGAAGGGAAAAGAGTGTTTGCCTGTGCTGGAGAGACATCTCAGGACAACTGCTGGAGCAAAAGGTACTGAAGAAGTCCAATAAAGACGACAAAATAAAGGCCTAAAATAAACATTTAATATATTATTTGCCGTCTTATGATCGCAGGGCAGCCCTGAATCCTTCAGCCTCATCAGTTTGACAGAATTCATGAGTTTATATCTTTGTGTTGCTGTCCATTACTACAATACCCAGCATGCATTATGCAAATATAACATAAAACCACTGGGAATACCCCCACAGCAATGAAGAAATTCTGACCAGCCACTGATGTACACTCCTAAAAAGAAGGGTTCTGGAGTGATGACACTGATTCTATATAGAACCATTATCACTCAAAGAACCATTTGCATGCTTAACTGGTTCTTTGTATGGTGAATGTGTGGAATATGATTCTATACAGAACCTTTTTGATATTGGGTCTATATAACCCCAAAAAGAGTTCTGCTACTGTTATGATGAGATGCTTGTAACAATAGGTAACTCTTTTTTGGTGCTATATAGAACAATAAAAAAAAGTTTTCTATATGCAAATGGTTCTTTAGCTGTGTCCCAATTCAGGGGCTGCATCCTTCTGCATTTGAAGCCCGACACAGCAGCGCGACTAGGCTGTCCCATTTCAAAGGCCCCTTCATATGCGGCCAAAAATGTGTCTTTATTTTCCATGGCAATGAAGGATCCATCAGGATGGTCCTTCGCCAGCCAACATATCCCAAGTTTCATTGTGTGCCGGCAAGGATTCGAGAACATGACAATCAACAGACGAGCGAACGGCGGCTGAAAAGTAAACTTTCAATGTAAGTACTGGCTTTAAACTCAGGAGAGTAGCTAATAACACACGTTTAAAAAAAAAAATCCAATCTCATCAGTTGCCGGCGGTGAAGCATCTTCAGCTCCAATAAATGAAAAAAAAAAAAATCAAAAATCAAAGTTTCTGGCTCCATCTTCAAAGAACTTAAAAAGAACTTGACAGGAGCAGCGTTTCGTGACGCAGTGGTAGGGTGGGAACAGCAGTGCTGTGACGCAAACAGGAAATCCGCCGTAGAGCAGACCGTCTCATTGAAATTTGGTCTTCGCGGGTCTACACAGCCTTTAAAGGATACGCCTTTGTAGACCACGTCCTTTGAAGGATGCAGCCCCTGAATTGGGACACACTGCCTGAGTACAGAATCATTGGCTTTACTAAAGAACCCTTAAAGAACCATCTTTTTTAAGAGTGTGGAGTTCAGGTGTTAACTTTCTAGCTTTCCTTCCTTTTCCAGCTAGCAGGAAAAAATAAAAAATCAGGAATCCTCCCAAAAGCCCTGAGAGTTTGTCAGAAGGTCCTCCTACCTTTAAGATACATCAGAGGAAGGTTCTACTAGTCATTAAATCAGAAAATCTTGCTTTACAGACCACCGCATTGCCACTGTAAGAGGTGAGTAAGCATATTTACAACAGATTATGGTTGTGCTTACATTTTCATTTTTGCCCATAATGATGTTTTTGCCACCCTGTTGAGGAGAAAAAGCAAGATTAAAGTGTGGGTGAAAACGCTGTTAGCCTGGCTTTACATGGTGGGTTAAAACGCCATTAGCCTGGCTTTATACGGTAGGTGAAAACGCTGTTAGCATGGCTTTACATGGTGGGTGAAAATGGCGTTAGTCTGGCTTTACATGGTGGGTGAAAATGGCGTTAGCCTGGCTTTACATGGTGGGTGAAAATGGCGTTAGCCTGGCTTTACAAGGTGAAATTTATACACAACTAGTTGCAGGTTGTAAGTTGTGGGAAACATCCTTTCGATGCAACTAACTAGCTAATTAGGCTACATGTAACTTGTAACTTTAACTAGCTAATTAGGCCACATGAAACATGTAACTTTCATGCAACTAAAGCAACTTTTACACAACTGTAGTTGCTTGAAACTTACATGAAACTAAATTTCATATGTGTTGCTATACAGATACCGATACTCTGCCACAACAGATGCAGCCTAAACAAGCCTGAAACAAGTTTCATGAAACAGCCAATCAAAGCAGCAAGAACACAGCATGTGATCATGTCAGATGGCACTATTTCAACCAGCTGACTTCACCAATAGATTATAAACAAGAGGTTTATCTGTTGGAATAATGTTGAATACTGGCAACCAGTTAGCTTAACTAGCCAGCTGACAATGTGACAGATATTTGAACAGCTACTTTTGTCAGCATTTGTTTTGCTTTGGTAACCTGCTGTATCATGACCTATATATCTAAGTTATTCATTTGGTGCTCGCTTGGTATAAAAAATGCTAAAAAGATGCAAATGATTGTTAAACAACACATGATTTTACACAGCCAGCTCAGAAATACTAGCAAAGGTCTTGCTAATCAGTGGACTTTGTTTTTGTTTTTGAACTGCTTTGTTTAACTGTCAAGTTGCATGGAAAGTTCGTTCCACTACTTGCAAGAAAGTTACACCATGTAAAGCCAGCCTTAGGCTAACATCAATAGAGAACCGGCCCAGCGGACAGCAGAGCTGAAGCTTTGATGTTATGGTCTTGGTGTGGATCTTCGTGTCAGTTAAGAGTGTTTGGCTTTATCATTATGTAGTGCGGATGGGTCGTCTGCCTCCAGCCACCATCATATCATGGGATGTATTTATGCAAAAAAGTTTGCCAAAAGTTGCTCATATTACCCAAATGTGTCCTCAAGTATATCACATTACTGAGCCTAACAGTGCACTGCTGTGATCACTGAGGCATTGTAAGTGCTCTGATTACAGCAAGTTGCATAATAAAACCTGCATGCCTGTTGCTCCCGCTCGGCCTATTATCTTCCACACTGC